AAAAAAAACGAAGGGAATGATCTAAGCAAGTAAATTTTTGACATTTGATACCTGTTTTCAGTATTTTAGTACCTGGTTTTACGTTCTTATATACCCATAATACAAAACACACCAAGATATTCATGCTTTGCATGTACTCCAACATTACTAGCAAAATATTCATAGAGTACATACACGGAATATGTCGATAATGTATCATCATAAAACATATTCCTACAAAATACAAAATACTCGAAATAAAAACACAACAATGATCTATATACGTTCTTTGCAAGTACGACGATTGTGTCCACGGCCACCACAACGCTTGCACCGCCTAACCGCAACATCTACTTGTGATGGCATCCTTTTTTCCTTCCTACGTCCGGGTTGAGATCGTACATCCGGGGCACGAATGACTTCATCATAATGTAAAGAGGCTACGTTATGGTCGTAGTTCGGTATAGGATTAATAGTACCTTGATAAGCTTGCATATACATCCCAATACGGTAATAAGGATCACAAAAATCGTAGATGGACATTGACTTACTCTCAACACAAGCACATGCATGCTTGCATGGCAACTTAGAAATTTGCCATTCTCTACAAGAACAACTACGTAGTTGCAAATCCACGGCACAAGTTTTATCGGCATCCACAACCTCAAACCTCCATTCACTTGATTGAATGATTTTGATAGTCCGGGAAGCATTGTAGCGAGATGCGATTTTTTTCTCGATCTTAAATATGTCTATTTAAAATTGGTATACGACCCGGAGCAAGTAACTAGTAAAATTACATTATATTCATTGCGAAATAGATGTCATTTAAAATTTTTATTCAGAAATTCGATTTGACTATAATGTGATTCAAGATAAATGTTTCATGGACATTTACAAACTATAGTATTCTCCAGATTTTTCTCTCATCAATATCGAGTAAAATACTTAGCAATATAAAAAAAATAAAAAATATTGACATACTATTTTTTTACTATAAGCGGTATATTGGATCAATATAAACAAAATAATTCGATTTCATACTTTATCGATAAAATACAAAAGATGATATTCAGTTTTAACACAAAATTAATTACCCAACGTAAAAGACAAAACCGAGACCCATGTCTTTTATAGATAAAAATAAAAAATACTCAAAAATAGTTATTAAAAAATAATTAAATAGAAGTTGCCATTAATACAATTATTTTGGAATAATTTTATAAAAAAATTATAATTGAATAAATCAACCAAATTTACTCAACTGCGTAGGGTATTTTAAAAATATAAATTTTTATGGTCTAATTATTTGCTTAATTATCCACAATTTGAGTAATTAAATACTAAAAAATAAATAACAATTATTAAATAGTATTTAAATAAAAACTGTCATTAACACAATTTTTTGAAATAGTTTTTTGCAAATCGCATAATTGATTATTTTAGTTGATATTTTCATAATTCTAGTAATTATTTGAAGATTGAATAAATTATTTGGATTTATACAATAGTAGTGTTCGCCGAAGTCTTGTATATTTAAAGTACTGCTATATATAAGTCGAAAATCGTTGTATCTTGGAGGCGTTTGTCGTTAACCGTGAATATTTTACGGGGCAATTTCGTCTTAAGAAAAACGTAACTATTACGTGCCTCGACTTTGATCTTGTTTTTCGTTTTCTTTATTCTCCTTAAGCTATCTTCTTGATATTCACAAACCACGCCATCTACAAAAGTGCTTTGGAGGTTGATGGTATTTTAAAACAATTTAATATTTCTCTAAACAAAATAAAAACACGAGAAATTCCAATATGCAAAAGAAAAGTTTCTCCAACTTCCATAGTTCCATTTATTCTACACAATCAATCACCTAAAAATAACAAAACTTCTGTAATAAAAGTTCTGTGCATTTCTTTGAGCCTTCTTGTTTTAGCTATTGCTATAATCTCTGAAATACACACATACAGACAGACAGACAATGTGATACCATTTTTCTTTGCCCCTCATTCCAGTCCTTTTTGCTTACTATCTTTTACTTCCCCTCATATGTACTCACTCAACAAGGTGGTGGATTTTGTACACCAAAATAGGCTATTTTTGCATTAGTACAGGTGGATGAAAGTTTCTCATTACTTATGTGCTTCAGATTAATGTTCTGAAACCGCACGTTTTGGCACGGTACAGATGCACTGCATATTAAGCTGATTGCAACTGGTGATATTGTCGTCCCTCTGATGTTTTGGTAGATAATATCTCTGATTTTCACTTGCGACGGCTGCGAAAAGGTAAATTGGAAATTGTTAAAGAAAATTGAATAGTCTTTTTTTCTTTCTTTCCGAGTACTAGAAAAAAAAAAAACAAATTACCTTTGTGGAGCTAGACCCGTAGTTTTGGTTGATGACAATGGGGTTCTTAACGTTTACCATAACAATGTCCTTAAAGAGCATGCCTGATGCAGTGCTCGGGGGCGAGCCTGGCCATGTCTTTATCCTGACGCCATTTGTCGTTCCTATCAACGTGCTGTTCTTCACAATGAGCCCTTTCACATCCATTTCATTCGGCACCTTTCCAAGGCTCCCAACGCTACACACACAATACATTTATATATATTTTACAATCAAATCACAAAAATATTGAATAGGAAAAAAAAAAAGGAAATGTAATATAATTTACCTGATGCCGTGGCCGGGCCCACATGTGAGTTTGTTGATTGTGATGTTGGTGGATCCTTGGCCGACCGAGACACAGTCGTCCCCTGTCTTGATGATGCTTCGGGAGACTTTTATGGTGTTGGATTTGCTGATGTGGAGGCCGTCCGTGTTGGGCGAGTCGGCCGGGTTGTCGATTGTGAGCGTGTGGAGTCGGACGAGGTAACTCTGTGTTACGTGCATGTTGAAACCCATGCTGTTCACAATGCTTATCCCTTTCACCTTCGCGTTCTGCACCTTGCTCATGTATATCGTCTGTCCATTAATATTTTCAATTCCGATCAATACAAGTAAAACCAACTTCCTCATCAGACCATCAATTTATTTACGGAAATTAATTAACGAGGGAATTAGAGAGTTACAGCTGGCAAATGCGTGCAGCTTGGGTTTGTCTTGCAGTCGTTGTACTCCCACACGTTCTGGCCCTGGCCGTCGATCGTGCCACCGCCCGTGAAAACGAGGCCGTTGATCTCGTCGAACATAATCCACCCTTGGTCGGGATAAGCTGACATGTCAGACAGAGCCTGCACTGTCCCCTGCAGCAGAATGACAATGGGCTTCTGGCTCTTGCATGGGCCCTGGAACAGGACTTGGCCCAGCTTGTAAACTCCGGGTGGGATCAACACCTTTGCCGCGTAGCCCACGTAGTCGCACGCGGCCCTCCATGTATGCATAAAAGCCTGCATTTTTGTTTATCATATATATCACAAACCAAAATTTTAATTAAGGAAATTTGATTTTTAATGTCATTGATTTATTTTTTAATTGAACCTGGGTGCTTTCTTGTTGTTTTCCGGGTTTGGCGCCAAAATCGAGGACATTGAAGATCTTGACATCGACAATAGGGAGGGCTGGCAGGGTGCGGGGATGACCAGCTTGTAGCCCACCTGCAGAGGCGCAGGCGAGTATTTGAGCACAACACAAAATGAGGAACCAGATTGTGTTTGCTCGGCTAGTCATCTTTTCGAAAACCTGGCCAAGTTCTCTTTTTTTTTTTGGTTTGTGTTTTTGGTTTTTTCAACTAGGTAGAATTTTAGTTATAAACTTTTTTTTTTTATAATTTGCTCCAACCCTGATATTGTTATGTTCTGCGATGAATGGGGGAGAGCTCTCTTTGCATTTGTTTAGGTGTGCGCCTTTCTTTTTTATTGAAAGGAGAGGAAATATTGTAGCATTCACTAAAAACGTGGGCAGTGGTAAGTTAACTATTTTTAGATGGTTTGTTTTAAGAGAGCCTCAGTTTTTTCCTATATGACTGTAATAATAATAACTGCCCCTCGTTTCGTTATTGAATTTTGCCCCTCAATTGAGCTCTCTAAATAGAGTAAATAAAAATGATTGTGGCTATTTTATTTTATTTTACTAATACTAATATTAACTTCTTAGGACCAGGTCACAATACTTCCTTAGTTCCTTACATAAAGACCTTCAAATGAAAACCATTATATAAATAAATCAGAATTAAAATTAGCTAATAAAAGATACTACCAAAGCTAAAGCTCAGATCCAAAACTCTCTTCGTGCTTGTATAGGGAGGCAAAGAAAGAAAAGATGAACAGAAGAACTGTGCACTATAGCTCAATCCAACACTCTCTTCGTGCTAATATAGGGAGGGCATAGAAGAAGATGAACAGAAGAACAACTGTGCACTGCTAGTAGACACGCAAGTAGCAGAGTAAAGTTTCAAAGGCAAGATAACAATATGTCAGGGACTACAAATTATGCATTAAACAGAAGTGGGTTTGTTGAAATTGCTTACAAGAGAAAAGGCAAATAAATAGATAAATAATGTCCAGAGCATAACCTATGCAAATATCCATAATGAGCAAAAAAAAAAAAGAAATCTAATCTTGTTCCTCCTTAACATCTTCAATCTTGATGAGCTGATGAGACTTGGTCACCATATTAGCCATATTAGGGGTCACATAAGCATCCCCAGACTCCGCCCGGCGCCTTGTAGAGGCCCTCTGATTGGAGTGCGCACTCATGCTCGACAGCGCATAGGCCCGGCCCACCTGCTCGTACGTCCTCTTACACCCCATTTTCTCCTCAGTCTCTCTCATCTCCGCCTCCAGCTGCAGCGACAGCCCGTCTCCCGCCTGGCCCGACGCCGAGGCCGAAACAGTCGACCTCGTGCTCGACAGAATCGCGCGCGCCTCTTTGAGATTCCCCTTCTCGGCCGCCCCTTGGGCCTCCGCCAAACCCTCGGCAGCATGCAGCCGATTCATCTGCCGGTCGACTTCCAGTTTCACCTTCACATCCGCAGGCGCCACAAAACCCGGGCGCTTTATCTCCGCAGACTCCATTTCTACCCTCTCGTTCGACCCAACGTCCTTGTACGAGCACGTCACGTCCACGAGCGGGGTCCGCCTTTCGTTCTCGTTTTCTTCCTCTTCGACGCTGAAGGCGTACGCGGGGACGGATATGTCAATCAGGAAATCTTTTTCCTCGTCCGCGTAAAGGTCTCCTACGGTGATCGACCCACGAGAGCCCTGGAGGCCGGATATCTCGCTCGCGTAGCTTCCGGAAGGAATCGAGTTGATGCGCACGCCATGGGACGCTGACCTCAGCGTCAGGCGGAGGTCGCGAACCACGACGCTCAAGAGGCCGCCGATGCACTTTGCGAACGCGTCTTGCACCATTTCGTACGACTCGATGAACGAGAAAGTTCCGCCTGATAGGGTGGCGATGGCGTGCATTGCGAGCGGGTCGTGGTCTGAGCCGAAGCCGAACGTGTGGATGGGAATGGAGAAGGGCTTCTTTTCAACCCCGGGACGCATGGATGGGGGCAACAAATGAAGGTAGGGCTGGGCCATCGGAATCCTTGGGGAGTAATTGTCCTTCCCATCAGACAAGAACATGATGCTTGCCACAGGATTACGATGGCTCCTCTCTTCAAGAACCTGAAGCCCCTTTGTGAGGCCATCCGCGATGTTCGTGTTGCCGTTGTCAGAGAAAAGGGAGTTGACAGCCTGTCTGGCATTGGCCCGTCCCACCTCTGTCGTTTCGTGCAGAGGGAGGACTATCCGAGCAGAAGTGGAGAAACAAACTAAGGAGAGCCGATCAGACGGGCCGAGGTTATCCACAACAAAGCCCGCGGCCCGCTTTACAAGGTCCAGCTTCGGCCCTTTCATACTACCGCTGACATCCAGCACCATAGCTAGGTCGATGGGGGCACGTGCTTGTGGGCCCTGGTGTGAAAGGGGTGGGGCCCTCAGCTCAATTACGACAGCAAAATTGGGCTTGGAGTCCAAGGCAGGAACAGCATCTTGCTCCGGGACGGCCCGCAGGGTAACATTCTGTAAGGTGGGATTCGAGGTTTCACCACCGACAGCGGCAAATGGCAGGGGCTCGTCGTCTGAAGACTTTAGCTGGGAATCAACAACGTTACCCATAAGTGCGTTTGTATTTCCAAACTAAAAGTAAATCTACATGTCATACCACAAGTTTTGCATATAAGTTCGAATGGAGAAAATCACATATTATGTTGTGTCCACAGACTGATCAAAAACTTTATAACAATTGAAATCGATTTAACCAAAAAATAAGAACAAGGACGACATAAACTAATAATAACGTAAATTGCTTCAACCAAAAAAATGGGTTCCATGGTTTTTCTCTTCGAAGGTCTGTTCGTGCACGACATAAACTAATAATAACTTAAATTGATTCACCCGCATCAATCGCCGGACACACACACATATATACAAAATCCAGAGCAAAAGGAAAAATATGTCTGACTAACAGAGACCAAAGAAAACAAGAAAAAGAAGAAACCTTTACTTGCTTGGAGGGTTCCATGGTTTTTCTCTTCGAAGGTCTGTTCGTGCCTTTTTTCGGACCGCCGATCGTCCTCAGTTGGTTTATTGTACTCTTGTTTTAAGCGCGTCACAAGAACTCGTCGGCTTACGAATATGAAGCGGCGTGGACTGTGGGTGTGGGGGTTTTTTTCTTTTTCTTTTTTCCTTTTTGTTAAGATTTTTGTTTTTTCTTTTAAGATTTTGTTACTGTTATTATAATGAATTATTATATTAATACCCGTACTGCATGTGTGGTTGATAAAATAATTAAATGTATAATAAAAAATTAATAAAAAATTATATATTTTGTTGAAGTTGGAAAAAATATATAAAGAACAACATATTACAATTTATAATAAATAAATAAATAAGTGAATTAACAATATTATTTTAAATTCTAAAAACTAATTTATATACATCATTAATTTTATTAATAATATTTTTATTTAAAATACATAAGGGAATAATATGAACAAAACACAAAATTTAAAAAGTATGATTATATGCACATTATATAAAGAAGATAATAAATACGTTTATATGGAATGATTTAAGTATATTAAATATATGTATATATATATATATATATATGTGGTAATCCGAATCTGAATTATTTGGTATAAAATATTAGTAATTTTTATCCAAGTCATATTACAAAGCATAATATTTTATCATGTAAGATTACGAAGTGTGCAAATCAACCCCTCGCTCGGCACTTCCGAAACTCGGGCCGACTTAGGAGAAGAAACAGAAAAATGAAGACATACAGATAATCCGATCTCAACATAACTACCGGTCATAGTAATCTGATTCTTAATTATCAACATCCAACAACATTCGAGTACTATAAAATACAAAATAAAATGAAAAAGTAAAACGAACACGCTCGCTAATACAACTTTCCAGGATACAAACTTTATAATAAATATGTACATATATAATGCATAGTATTTTATTAATAACCCTTGCAATATTAAATTCTGCATATTCTATGGGAAACATATACAATATAAACAGAAATACTACATATACTGCATGAAGCTGTTATTGCTCTCTTCCCCCCACAAAATAATTTTTGTTTGATTTGGCTGGTTTTGGCTATACTGGAATTTTTGTTTGATTTGATTGGGGAATAAATAATTTAGTCAAACACTTGTGTTTAGCATTTAGGCATATGCCTTTCTAATTAGGGAGCAAAATTATATCATCAAGAAAATATGACGACTGAAATTTCAACGAGTGTTGGAATCAATTCTGTTCAGTCAATTTGAAATAATGTGGAATAGTCGGTGAAAATTTTGATTCTTTCTGTCCAAAACAACCGAAATTAATTAATTCAACTTGGAAGATATAGATAGAATCGAGATCACTCCAAAATTCTTGATGTGGATTTCAAGTCTTTGGGTTATCAAGTTGTAATTGTTGGTCCGAATAGCATAACTTAAAAGGGACTACTGTTAATTGATTAAAACTCATTATTCTCCAAAGTAGTGTGAGTCAGCGAGATGTTGTAGCTGTGTCTTATTTATTTATTTATTTTCGCTATCAAGAAGGTTTGAGGTATAATGCCTTACACTTTTCACTAATCGATAAGGGTTAAAAAGGTTGAAGAGAGTTTATTAATTTAATCACATCGTTNNNNAAGAGAACCGCTTGAAGTGTGTGTTCTGTTTTACTAATAAAATCATTTGATATCCATCTTCATGAGGGCTGATATCCATAGATTCAAGAATATGGAAAAAAGATGAGAATTTTCCTCCAGCATTAAACTTCATATACTTTTTTTTTCTTTTTTCTTTTTTTAAATCTGTACGCATGCCTAATAAACGAAATACAACCTTGTGTTCATATTATGGATCATGTTCCATCAGGTTGGCCAGAGGCGGATTTACATATCCCAGGGGCCATTGTCCCCCAACAATTTTAAGTTTTACTATATATACCTATATAGTCAATCTATATAGTAATTTAAGGTTTCATTAAATTGAATGTGAGAATATAAATACTTGAGAATTCGTTGTTTGAACTAGGAGGGCATGCGTGTTTTGCAATTTCATGAGATTGAATGAGAAATTGCAATAAATTTTAACAACGAGTTAATTATTAGTGAATTTTAGGAGATGAAAGAATGTAGAACACAATTTTTATACTACCAAACTTAAATGATTGTGCAATTTTATAGTGCAACTTTATTATTTACTTTATACTTTTTAAGTAAACTTTATTTCTTATATCTATACTTAGTGTTTTTTTATGCTATTAAATATTATATATTCCCCTCGAATTGTCATTCGAATTGAGATCAGTTAAGTACCCTATATTCAAAATTGTGTTTGTCTCGTTTATTTAATAAATAAAAATGTGAGGTATAACTCGACTCATCCACTCGAACTGTTTTAATAAATCCAAAAATTAAATTCATAAATTTTAATCAAATTGTTTGCGAACACAATTATAAACTTGATCAATTGTTCAAATTCGTCTAATTTAAGTAAGATCGGCCTCAAACTTTCAAAAACCAAATAAAACTATATTCTTAAAATCGCTTATGATTGAATAACAGTCTAGTCCTCCCAAATATTTTTTCTGGATCCGCCATGAGGTTGGCCTTTCTTTACATCTCCTGATTAAGGGGGGAAATTAATTTAGGAATATATTTTTCTGCAACCCAAATTTGTGGACGAAATTTCAATGTTTTAAATTCGGCCACATGCTTTCCTCCTAGTCTTCCGTTAAACCGCCAAATTATCGGGGTCATTATTGAATTGGTTAATTAATTTTATTTTTTTAAATCATATTTATACTATTTTTATCTTATATTTACACATAAAAATAATAGAAATAAATAATTTATATGTAAATGTTTCTTAATAAATATTGTTTCGTCACAAATATATACAACATTTTATTTTTAAAAAATATAAAATATTTTAAAAAACTATGGTCAAACTAAGTTGAACCGTCAGGGATTAATGTGTTGGTACCTATCAATGTGGGGTTGACCGGGTCTGTTGTTAATTACCTGGTCCAAAGAACTCATTCGGATTTTTCTTTGCTCTAGTTTGACCCTTATAATGTTCAGGTTAAACACATTGCCAAATTTTAAAAAATAATACTCAGGCTGCAATTGAATACAATTTTTTAGTTTATTTGGCTCGTCCGTGTTTATTAAATTGGAATGAAAATGATTTTTTTTTTTATGTTGTTCATTTCATGTCATTGTTTCTCTTTAAATCACTCACACAATTAAAAATTATACAAGTAATTAATTATTATATATTATAGAAAACATTATTAGTTCATTCATAAACTTCAAATCAATATAATAACAATTATATATGAATCACTATATTATTAATTTTATATTTCAAAAACTTTAATTATTAAACTTTTATTCTATATTCCTTCACAATCTCGAATCAATCTCAAATTTTCATCTCATTTTTTGAACGAGACAAATTTTCAAAAGGTTATCTTCAGTCGTAACCAAAACAATAATTTTTTATTAGGACCTTTAATTTTATACCAACATGTAAACAACAACATTAAACAAAGAATACCATATTGATTGTTCTCCAGAAAACTTTTTTACCAGGTTAGTTGATTTCTATAATAAAAAACTATACGAACTATTTCATTTATTGTTACATTATATTATAGTGTTGCCAATGGGCAATATTCTGAGANCCCAAGATAATCAATTTTTCAATTTTGTAATTTGCTCAACAAATTTACCTATCATTCACAGTTCATATTATCGGAACTCTTTTAAGGATTGCAATTCCTTATTAGTATATTTTATGGGTGTTATGGGGATATGGTCGGTGCTTTTTATATTCTCGAAATAATTGGAATTCCAGATGGCAAATTTTGCATATGCTTTATCAGTTTATCTCCAAGTGACCAATATTTAATGTGATAAGGCATGGATAATTAAAGTAATAACCGTAATTTGCTGAAAGGCATCAGTATATTCAGAAAGCATTACCCTTTGCTAATAACATAAACTAGTACAACACCCGTGTATTACACGGGTTGAATTAGAAAACTTTTATAAAAAATATTAAATTTTTATTTTTTTAAACTAAAATAATTTAATTTTATATAAAATATTACTTTTAGTTTTAATTAAACACCCGTACATTAAATAAAAATGTCAACCCGTGTTGAATTTTTTTACTTATATAATATAAAAATATTGCTATTATTTATTATTACATAAGTATAAAAATATATATCTTAAATATATAGAAATAATATGGTGATATGTATATGCATAAGTGCAGAATATGTTTATTTAATATTAAGCAAAATAAATGAATGTTTTTATTTACTTGTGCGACTTATATGTGTTATATTATAATAAATTTTCTACCTTATAACATATAACTACATTAAACATAAATATATTAATTGATAAATAATTTTATTTTTTAATTAATTTTAATAAATAATTTTATTATTATTATAAAGATAAATATAATTTATTTATTTTATATATACAATATGGATGTCAAATCGAATCAAAAGATGATTAATTTGAATATTTTATATATAAAACCGATAAGAAATATAAAAGTTATTAACTTTTAAAATATATTTGCAAGGTTATAATAAAAAATGATATTAAATTAAAATACAATTAATACAAATATTAATTTATATCCAAGCCTAACTCCAAAGCATGATTTTTTGTCAAATAGGATTCCGAAGCATGAGAGTTTGCCACATAGGCTTAGCGCATTCTGAAATTATATATAGAGGGGATTGTAATGAAATTATTGATCACATTATTAACTTATAATCAATTATTTGTCACATTATATGACTAGTGTAAGGTTTTTAACATGAAATGATTTCTTTAGTCATGATCTTGCATTCTTGTTACCTTCACTGTTTCATAAGTTCTGTAATGTTTATCAGTTAAGCTTTAGACTCCTACTAAAACTTGTCAGAAAATTGCCATAAAATCTGCCTTACATATGCGAGGAACCACTAGTAAAATACACATAAAAGTAGCTTCACAATTATTCAGGATTACAACAAGACTAGCATGCTTTTATTATTAAAAGGTAGATAAAAGTCATGCATGCTTGCATAATTAGTAGAAAATAGTGTCGGAACTCCTCTTCGAATAGTCCATAATCGACACCCCACGAAAATCCACGGCTTCATACTTGTTCATCCTCATGATTTCGTTTTCCGCAAGTGGTTTTACCTGATAAACGCGAGTTTGCTTGGGCCGATATTGATACAGGCTAGGTTGTTTTGCTTCAACTGTTGTTGGCCTTTGTGGAGCATAAGGTTTCTTCTTGGGAGACCAGATTTGGCAATTCTTTTTTTCCATGTGTTCTTCTATTATTGCAAACCCATCCTTCCCTATTCTAAGGAGATCGTCTTTGTATCCCATTTTTTCGATTTCCTC